ATACCCTGATATGTACAAAGATGTGCAAAAACCTTGCGTCATGTGGGACCAAAACCCGCACCTCACTCTATCAGGGAGCACATGCTCTAACCTGTTGCACTACTAATGCCCGTTTTTGCCGTCACTCCTACGCTACAACACATTAATCATTTGTTTAAACGTAGTCGAACAGAATAAGAATTCTATCTGATCACCCAATATGCAATACCTCTCAGCATGACTGGCTTCAATTTCGATACCAACTACCTGAGCCAAACCACTGATGGCTGTTTGCTGACAGATAGATGCGTTATATCGTAGAAAGAGTGGTGGCAAAACGGGCGTCACTAGCGCAACGGATTAGAGCATGCGCTCCCAAAAAGAGTGAGATGCGGGGTTCAAGTGCCGCCTAACGCAAAAGTTTTGCAGATCACTGCATATACTCTCTTAATTCGGCACAACCAACAATCAAGATCGTTAAGACATCCCTTTCCCGAATCTTAGAAATGTTTCGGACAATTTGCACTGCCCGGAGTTGTAGGGAGGTTCCTAACACCAGCTGAAAATTCAATGTTTATACATAGACTCAATTGAAAACTACAATAAATATAATTCAAGATAATGACCATCACTATCGACGATTTTCTGCAAAGGATCTGTAAGCTTCCTGATCTTCTCGAAATTCGAACAATCCTTGGGCTTCAAATCAAAAAACTTCTGACATGCCTCTTGATCTTGATCAAATGTCTGGTTCCGGTTTGCACTCAGGTAATGTTCCACTTAGCGGAACTGAACCATGATCGGACGGCGTAGCATCTGGACTGTAGGCTAGCTGCGGCTTGTGCTCGACTTCATCCAATTCGTCAAAGTTTTCCTCAGTCTTCACTGCGATGAGTGGTTTGGCCTCGTCTTGTGTCGAGTACATTCCCTTCAACGCATCGTAGACCCGGTTCAGCTGCTCGCAGTAGAGTTCAGCATACATATACTCCTGAAATATTCCCATGAATTTACGATTACCGATACTTCGCGAAACAAACATGAAATACAGATTTTTCCCAGGTTTCAAGGAACTTCCTGTTCATTCCATTAACTCGTTAATTTTCTTCATCACTCACGCAATCCTAATGTATTCTACGGACCGCAGACTTCGAATAAGCTTCTCACAGTCCCATTGTAAACAATAGAGAATTTGGAGACAGACTATGATTTTTATATGTTAGACGGCGACAAATGGATATTCGGCTCCAGTCGCCGGACAATAACTTTTCCCTGCCTAGGGCGGTAGGTGATAGGTTTCCGCTTTCCTCAAGCGCATAATCCGCCGGACACACGAAAAGCATATGAACGTGTAGCGGAAATCTTGTAGAACCAGAATCATACATTCTTATCTGACGGTTCTGTCGAAGCGGTAGAAGGATTTCCAATTGAATAAAAAAATTGCACGCCACACGTCTAACACGTTAGGCCATCGATCGTACACGTCCCGACCCCTCCCCTCCCCTCGGTCTAAAGACTGGTCAAAAAAACACATGCTCGCAAATGCAAATCAATATCATTATCCCTGCTGCACTGCAAACAAACGGTCGTTCCAAAAAATAAGCATAGTGTTGGAAACGTTAGCCTTCACGTTATCTAATAGTCTAAAGAAAGAGCTCGTCAGTCCAGAAAGAAATATCAGCGTGTGAAACACAAAAGTTTTCTGTTTGCTACGGACCTATTCAAAGAGCTTTTCAAGAAAGCAAACACATTCTTGGAATCTTCGAGATTTGTGCTATCGAAAGAGTACTGGCAGTCTAGGAAAAGAGTCTTGTCCAACGAAATATAAACGACATAAAAAACGTGTGGTGCGTGTGAACATAATTTCATTCTGAATGCTACAGCGTTATTAAAGGGTCTTTCCAAGAACGGCCACGTGCCGCGTTATCCAAATATTCAAAGCTAGAGATGTATTATTTAGAATTTCGAAAGAATAAGGGATGAAGCTCTCGGCATTGATCAACTGAGCGACGCGCCATGCATTCGTCTTCAAATTTTAGCTTCAGTTGAGATGATTCGGATGCATACTCGGCCTTTACAATGACTCGCAGTGGTCTCCCGGTGTATCGAGTCAGTGCATATCCTCCCAGACAAGTCTGCGACCAGTGCGGTAGCAATTTAGCGGCCACAAAGAGATGGATGGCTTGATGAGCCATGAGCACGAGATCGAAGCATCAACTTTGTATGCGACGCAGAGCACCTCTAACCACTGCGCCAGATGCGCTCTGAGCAGTGCATGATATCGGTTTTTATTTGTTGCCGTCTAACTTATAGACCCTGAACTATTCTGGGACACACTGAAGGGGATAAAACGGCAGACCGTACATATATTTCGAAAACAACTAAGTACACCTTGCCAAGAAAAAGCGGAATGACACCTCAAAGCACTTACATCTGCCGTCTCTTTTGGCTTCGACTTGGTGCTCTTAACTCTAGGCTCTTTGCCAACATCGAGGGCCGGCTCGCGGCTCGGCTCCTCGGCCAGGCGAATTCGTCCGGCTGCTCCACTGCCGGTTGCTTGCTTGAAAAGTCCGTTCTTGAGTCCACGATTCAAAGCGGTTCGAATACGATTATTTATCTGAAATCGATGGATAATCGACAAATGATTCGTAGTTCCTACCCATTGCTCTTAGAATAACATAGGCTCCTCATCCATCAGAAGGCGACAAGTGAAAACCGATCTCATTTGCTCATTCGCATTCATAGGTGTATCAGCAGTTATTCAAAAGCTTACATCTCTGGCTACAGCCGTATGATGGCCGATTTTCATGAAGACCCTTTTATAGCGCTATAAAATACAAAATAACATCATGTTTCACATCTGCTGCGCAATTTAACTCTTACTCCGCCGGAAGCGCGAAAAGCACAAAAATGTGTAGAGAATTTGTTGTAGTATCACAGTTAAATGTTTGATCTAGAGTTCCTTCTAGAGCGGTGAAGCAATTCCTAATTAAATATCAAAAAATCGATCAATCGTGGCCGGCCGCCGCATCGAATCTGCGGCCATCAGACCCCCCCCCCCCCCCCGGACCGCGAATTAGTCTGTAAACAAGCAACCCAAATGAGTGGGACTCGATCTTCTTTTCCCTGCCACACTGCAGAGGAACGCTATTTCCAGAGAATGAATACAGCGTTGGAATCATTGAATCCTACGCTATCGATTGATTACTAATAGTCTGGAAAAAACGCTCTGCCTTGCGAGAAAAATTTGTATGCGAAACACTTCGGTTTTTCTTCTGTAACAACGTCAAAATAGGGCTCTTTCGGAAACCGGCCACGTAGCGCGCTAGCCAGAGATTTCAGCATTCGGATGATTACTGACACTCTCATGAAAAAAGGCCTTCTAACGGACAAGTACCTAACATAGAACGCCTAAGTCGATCAAAAATCGAAACCAAAAAAACGCAAAAACTGCCGCTTGACGAACCAATCTGTCGTTATCGGGAACTTTGTACTTCTGCGCAATATACTTCAAAATCGCCTGCCTCGAAGCTCCTCTTCGGTCGTTCAGTGCCCTGATGGCTGATCTGATCATTTCGAAGTAGACGGGATGTCTGGGAGACGTTCTCCGCTTCTTTTCACCTTCCACTTTTATGGCGTTCCCAATCGAGTACTGCACAACAGCATAAAACAAAACGAGGCAAAATCATGGCATACACAAAACTACTAAAAAAAAACCTTGATGTCCTCCGTCGCCGATGATGGGGACGTCGTACCTGAAGCCGGATCAGCCCCTAACATATCTGGGCAACTTGCGAAAACCTTGATATCCTCCGCCGCCGATGATGGGGACGTCGTAGCGAAAGCCTTGATGTCCTCCGTCGCCGATGATGGGGACATCGAACCTGGAGCCGGAGCATCCTCGAACATATCTGGGCGACATGCGAAAACCTTGATGTCCTCTGTCCCCGATGATTGGGACGTCGTACCTGAAGCCGGATCAGCCTCGATCATACGTGGGCGAGAGCCGAAAGGAACTGCGCCCGCAACCTTTGCAGCCGGATCTTGTACAGGCCCGGGTTCCCCCGTTGCACCCCCTTCCAAGGGGCGCGATACGCACTGCCACGCTGTTGACGTTGAAAAGAACGATAATAAAATGCTAGATAGTCGAGATTTCTCAAGAGTTTTTATATTTTTGAACACTAGAGGATCTCTTCTTTCGAACTGTATGCAAATTAGGCAATATGACTCTTAAATTCAGTGCAAAAACAGGTGCTGTTCATTATAAGGCGGCAAATGAAAAATTGATCTCATTCACTAAGCAGGAAGTTTTCACAAGAGTGTTAGCAACCATTCAGTAGCTTAAATTTTCTGCTCGAACCATTACTAATAGTCCAAAAAAGGAGCTCTGTCCGGCGAGAAATATGCGCGTGTGGAACTAAGGATAAAAAGTAGTATACTTCTGTAGCAACTTCAAAAGAACGCTTTTCGGAAAGCTGGCCAGGTAGAGCTGTAGCCAGAAATCTAAGCTTTCGAATGATCAACAACGCTGCTATGAAAAATTCCTCTCCAGCGAATGAGATCGGTGTTTGATTTGCCGTCACATAATGAACAAGTACCCGACAACATGCAGAGAACATTGTCGATCATACAAATTGTTGAAATGATAAGGTTTCGCCGAAGATTTCTATCAGAAAATATCAACTGTCATTGGGTATACATCTTTTTTACAAAGGACAAGATACTGTGCTTTGTAGCCCAAGAAAACTCTTCCGATATTTTCGCTTGTTTCTACGCTACAAGCGTTTTTTTTTTCAACTAAAAATAACTTTGACCTAAGCTTACCCATGAAACACATTTGGTTCACAACGCCTCGCAATAAATCTGGCCTACAATACCTTTAGACGGCGCAGGATGAAAAGCCGATCTCAAGAATTCTTCATAGTACTTTATAAGGCTCCGAAATTCTAGTATTTTACTGCTTTTTTCGCAGTGTTATGATGTCGCATGTGTACCCAAGAGAATTGAGTGGTGAGCAAAAGTACGACCTCAGGCGGGTATCGAACCCGCGTTTCATCCATGCCGGGGACGCGTGCTTCTACTGCTACACCACCGAGACACATTTGGTGGCTGATAGCTAACTTAGGGATATTGAAGAATGAGTGGTAGCGCAAATTTGCCTCGGCGGTGTAGTGGCAGTAGCACACGTCTCCAGTGTGGATGAGACGCGAGTTCGATTCCCGTCTGAGGTCGTATTTTTGCTCACCACTCAACTCTCTTGAGTATGTAGAGTGATGTGCAAAAACATTTGCGTCGGCCGAGATTTGAACCCAAATCTTACTTTTTCCGGAAGAATAGGCTAAACCGTTGTGCAACGGTCTAGCATATGCTCCCGGAAAGAGTAAGATTTGGGTTGAACTTTTTTGACATTGTTACAGAAAGAACTTTCGTGTTCTACACACGCATTTTTCTCGCAAGACGAAGCCTTCCTTCAAACTTCCAGTAATCATTCGATAGCGTAGAATTCAAGGAATCTAACGCTGTGCTTATTTTCCGCTAAGAGCGTTTCTCTGCAGTGTAACAGGGAAGATGAGATCGAGTTTCACACATTCGGCTCGCTTGTTTACAGGCTAGTTTATGGTCGGAGAGAGGGTGGAGTGGGGTGTGATGGTCGCCGATTCGATACTGCGACCAGCTATGATCAATCGATTGGCGCTTCAGATAAGATTCTTGTCATTCGATTAGGAATTCTTTCTGTGCTTTGAAAGAATCCCAGATCAGACGTGTGACTCAAATACTAGCAGATTTCTTTACTCGTTCATGTGCTTCTCGTGCTTCCAGCACTGTAATAGTTGAAACGTTCAGCCGATGTGAAACATAATTTTATTTTGAATTTAATAGCGTTTAAAAGGGTCTTCTGAGAAAACCGCTCACGTGCCGCGCAAGCCAAAGATTTAAGCTTTTGAATGATCATTAACTCACTCATGAAAAGTTCTTGTCTAGCGAATGGGTTCGAATATTCTTTTATCGCCTTATAGTGGACAAGAACTTCTTTAACGAGTGTATAGTAATCATTCGAAAGCTTAGATCTCTGGCTAGCGCGCTACGTAGCCGGGTTTTAAAAACGCGCTTATCATAGCGCTTCAATGAAAGAAAACGTTTGTGCTGCATACACGCAGTTTTGTCGCAGGAGAGAGCTCTATAGACTTGTATTAATCATTCAGTTGCGCAGGGACTCCAACGCTGTACTTATTTTCCGTGAAGACCACTTCTGTGCAGTGTAGCAGGAAAAATAAGATTGATTCACATACACGAGCAAGTGGCCTTTGGCCTATTCAAGGTCTATGGGCTAGGGGAGGACAGCAAGGGTTGCTGCGATCATCGACCAATTCTCGCTTCAGCCGGTTTTGTGAAAGTGCGATTTTTCCCTCCACTCTGGAAGAAAATCTGGACTAAACATCCGATTTTGAAACTTGAACCTCTTCTCTTCACGTTCATGTGCTTCTTCTAGCGATGTAATAGTTGAACTGCGCGGCCGATGTAAAACATGATTTTATTTTATATTGACAGCGTTACAAAAGGGCATTTTGGAAAATCGGCTACGTAACACTCTTATGAAAACTTCCTATCTAGCGAAAAAGGTCGCTTCTTTATCCCGTGCCGTCTGATGGCAAAGCAAATTTGGTATCACAAGAGTGTTCTATAATCTATCACATACTCTTACGACTTCTGGTTAGACTAAGTTTGAGAAATTACCACTGGAAAAAACTTCATCCCTTCACCGCCGCGACGCGGAAATTTATGCGACTGCGGATGAAAAAAAACCATCGGGCCATTTCCTAGCTCTCTACTCAATGCCTTGCACTGAATTTTTTAATCTAAAAAGAAGTTTTTGATGGTTAGGCCACTTAAATGTACTTTACATATCGGCAAATGCTCATGGACATGATAATATGACTAAAGACTCGTTTACAAAGGTCGAAAACTTTTACTCAATCACATCATTAAAATGCTAACATATTGACGTCGAAGTCTCATCTATAAAAACTATACATTTTCCAACGGTATGTTTTGCTAAACAAATTCTTCAGCATCTTCCCTGGAGTTCTTGTAATCAATCGGTAGTTTGATTCATGCAGACGCCTCTTCAGAGATCATTTTCTTTCTCTTTGTAAAGGTACCTGTAGCAAATAATCACATAACATTGATGTAGAGTGATGTGCAAAACTTCCACGTCAGGCGAGACTAGAACCCGTTCCTAACGCTATCGAGGAGCACGTGCTCTATCCGTTACACTACTGACGCCCATTTCGCACACCACTCTTTCTACGCTATAGCGCATCTATCTATCAGCCGCCGGCCGTCAACGACCTGGCTCGGGTAGTCGGTGCTAGAAGCGGTTAAATAAAAGGAATCTCATTTGATCTTCAATCACGTAACAAATTATGAAGGGGGATATATTGAGCCGACTTTCCTTCAACCTCGGAATCACTAATCAGTAATAGTTTCCGCTTGATTTATCGTTCTACGGGTACTAACTTTCCATTATTTGTTCATTCCGTGCTAGGAACGCATTTTCTTCTTGGCTATTTTGACATTGAACATGGCACACTGATTCTACACGCTGTACATTACGTTAATCTTTTTAGTAAAATGTCAGTGTTGTAGTTTCCTGTGCCTCGTCCACTTTCCCACTCCTCGAATAACTTCCTCAAAACCATCTTCATCCACTTGTGGCCTTCCATGAGTACACCGGAGTTTTCCTGGTTAGCCACCTGCCTGCGATGCATATCACCTCTACTAGTATCATTATGAGTGATTTCTTTTCTTTGGCGTGTGTACAGTGCGTGGTTTATGGATATAGTGATTTAAACAGTTAAGTACAGATCGGGTAATACCGGCTGGAATTGGTGTAGTGGATAGCTGGTCGAAAATGCGGTGCCGCAATAGTTCTTACTCCTTTTTCAGCGAGCTAGCACACGTCTTCAAAGCAACGTCCTACGAGTGCAACATGTCAATCGTTTTTTTTTTACGAATGTCATAAGGGTCGCTTCGCAACTGATTGTGAAAGAGACGAACATCTAAGGTCAGCAGAAAAGGAGGACTGAGAAAATACGACGACTGATGAGATGGAGAAAATTAGTGGGTTATGCCTTCAAATGAGTGCAGTACCATTGTCCGAAACGAAAGTTTATTGGAGCATCCACCCATGTTCTTATAACCCGTTTGGAACCGGGTATCATGCCGAGAGATAAATTTTCGGAGGTCAGAAATCACTTTCATCTAAATTTTGTGTGCACCGCATCATAGGGCTTCTTGTACTAAGTTTGCCTACTGCTGAAACTTATCAAGAGAAATTGTAAGGATGCGTATATCCAGGAATAACTGTATTCATTGAACGAGTCGATGGCACGCTCTGAAGGAAAAACCAAGCTGTGTCAGTGTATCCTTTGTAAATGGAATAGACATACAAGTAAGTTGTCTAAAGTCTGTGGTGAAAGAAGTTACACCTACGAGACGATGATTTGCGCAGGCGTGAACTCGGATGCTAATCGGTCGTCCTGCGGATGGTGTTTTAACGAGTCTAATGGACGACGTTCTAGATGAAGGGTGACATTTCTTCGCAGAGAACTGGTATATTGGTGTTCCTCTGGCCGAGACTTTATTGCAGCGCTGCACTCACTCGACCGGAACCTGCAACAGGGCAGAAGCTTGGCAAAAAAAATTCGCGCGAGAGAACCCGTGCAGGGATGAAAGGAGAGCAATGCGAAACCGGAGTGGCGTTTTGGTACTCAGATGGTTGGGTAAGAAAGAAGAATGGTTTTGAGAACGGATCACTCCGCCATCAATTCACGATAGGAGTTCGAGAAATTCCAAATGTATGTATGGTAAAAGTTTGGTGACCCGCGACTACGTCCGCAAAATCACATTGAATTTAGAAACTTCTAAACAAGTCAACTAATTCACGTGAGGATTCCTATATTCTAGGTATGAATTTCATACTGAATATTGCCTAATAAAATGATTTACAAGTAGACTGCTTTAAGTAATGAAGACAGTTGAATTTATGAGGATCTACAAAATGGTCAATGTCTCTAACAAAGTGTATCGGGATCTACATAATCAAAGATGTTGACCGATTCTGATTTTCCGGGATTGATTGTTTTGGTTCGATGCTGTTGGTAGAAGTTGTTAAATGTCGAATAAATGTATTGATAAATGTTAGCAATACCAGGATTATGTAAAATATGGCTTAGAAACGTGTATTTTATCAAAGCATTTGCAAATGCGTTTTTCAAGGATGTAGCTTCCATATTAAGAAATGATTTCTGAGACAACGCAACTTCGGTCTACCAACCTCTTCGTAGAGATGATGATTTCTTAGAAATAAAAATTCTACTATATAAGTACCAATAAATCAGGTGTAAAGTGGAAGGACAGGCAGAATGCTGCGAAAGCGAAATGGTATAGCTTTTTCGCAAGTAACGCAAACGAAAAATATCTTTTCTGGAGGCTAAGCGCGATACTAGAATTTCAAATTTTGAGTTTTCGAATGACCCTTAATAATCTGGTGGATTAAGTCTTTTGTAGAGAAAACCAAATTTACCCGCGCAAACTTTGCAATGCAATTGCGTGCGAGAGAAAATTATAACCAAAAGTAAGAATTTTCCATCAAATCGAGCCATATTCTCGTCCAAAATACGTTTGTAAAGGTCAACTCAATGATATTCTGACTTTTCAAAGCGATAAAGTCTTCTAATATTCAAAATTTTACTGTGTAGTACCAAAAAAAAACATCCTGAAGCAGAAAAACACGAACTGCGCTCAAAAATTTTATCTATTTATATTTTCATTAGTAGAACGTACTATGGAGATCTTCCATACAATAAGCTTAGCATTAAAATCAGAATTTTTTTTCATTAGAAACAACCTTGCGCTTTTCTAGAACACAACGTGATTCAGTGGGCGGACTCCCTTATTTTTACTGCCCCTATGTAGCACATATCAATTTTTTTCTTAATAAGAATAGAATTGAACAAAACTCTGTACAATGAGTGGATACATTGATAGGTCGTTAGGAGGTGTCTTTAATGATTAGGTTTCTCGTCTACTCTTAGGAACACTGGTCAGCTATCCCTGAGTACATCAGCTTCCATGTCTCAAGTCAGCAAGCTATAAGTGGGTATCAAAAAGCTGAAGGTAACTCGATAAGTGGGTTTCATTTCTTTGACCCTAATAAATTCTCAGTATA